GGAACGCTGTTGCCTTCCCACCAAAGCGGTCCCTATTTTTCTACTTGCATTTTTTACATGCTTTCAAACTGCTAGGTTGGCAGAAGCTGGGACAAGTAACGGGAGCTCACTCCGTTACACAGCGCTGGGGATTCGAACTGCCGAAGTGCTGACCTTTCTGATCGACAAGCTCAACGTCTTAGCCGCTGAGCCACAGGTGGCAACAAAAAGATCAAGGGCTGCCCTCTGGTGGCCATTAGTAGAGCTGCAGCCCAAACACAGTAGGCCCAACCCTACACCAGATAATAAGCAAGTGCAAATTAAATATCAGTTTTAGGAAATTTGAGGCTCGGTAACTTATCGGCATCACCCCACAGGATAAAAAATAAAGATAGAAAAGATCACCAATTTATAGTAATCTACGTTTGTGAGGTTTTGAAGGTTTTCAAAATCTGAAATTTCATACAACTCACAATATTTTGATCTTTACATTTTTTTTAAAGAAAATGAAGGCTTCTATACCTGAAGGATTCTCATGCCACCTCACCAACTCTGATGAATCTGAACTAGCAAGGCCTCTCCAGGGCCCCAGAGAAATAATATTTGTAATACCTATTGCCAGATCATTTTAAAAGAATTTAAAAGTAGAGGCTGGGCAGTGTTCAGGTGCAGATGGGCACATTTTTAGAGCATTTAGTTAAAAGCTAAGCGCTGTGGTGCTGTAGTGGTTAGAATGCAGTATTGGTGGCTAACTCACTGCTCACTGCCAGGAGTTCAATTCTGACCGGCTCAAGGTTGACTCAGCCTGCTGTGTGGGGACTCCTGGGAGGGGTGAGGTGGGCGGGGCCAGCCAGGAGTGGGATTTGGGGGTTTTCCAAACTCTGCAGAATCTTAGCTGAGGGTCTCCTGAACTCCTGCGAATCCCCAGCAGCCCACTCCCGCCACCAGGCTACTTGAGGCCGGTGCAAGCACATGTGTGTGTGTGTGTGTGTGTGTGTGTGTGTGGCCCCACTCGCACGAGCATCGCCATGAGCATCGCAAGCACTTGTGGCCCCACTCACGTGAGCGTTGTTGCAAGTCCTCATGGCCTGACTTGCGGCCCCATTCACACAAGCATCATCGCAGGTGCTCGCCCCATTTGCATAAGCACCATTGTAGGTGCTCACAACTCCGCTCACACACAAGTGTCATCGCAGGTGCTTGTGGCCCCATTCACGCAAGAGTCATTGCGGGCACAAGCAGCCCCGCTTATCCAGACACTTGCAATCCACTTGCGCAAGCACTACCACATCGCGGATACTTACAACCAGGGGTGGGATTCTATCAGCTCAGACCAATTCTATAGAACTGGTTGTTACGATTCTGCGCAGTTCGGAGAATCGGCAAATCACACCACTGGCTGGCCTCTCCCCTCCCCTCCTGTCGGATTCCTTGCTTTCTAGCTAATCTAAATCGTTGTTGTACTGCTTTGCCTTCACCCAGGAGGCTTCCCTGAAGCCCAGTCAGGGTTGGTATTCAGGGGGTTGGGGAGGGGGGGAAAAGTGGCCTGAGAGCAGAGCTGTACCTTCCTTAGGACTGAAGCTTCTATTTTTCAGTGCAGATTCAGGCAGCAGATTGCAGAAAGGTAGATCTCTGAATGAATCTGTGATTCTGCAAGCAGCTCAATCTGCTTTGCCTGATTTTGGGTAAAAGTTGCTCTTTTTTAAAATAAAAAATTCAATATTTACAGAAATATTTACAATATTTACATACAAGCCACGCCCAGCCAGTCACGTGACCACCAAGCCACCTACCCACCCACCCCAGTTAGCAAGCCATACCTACTCAGTCACATGACCACCAAGCCACACCTACAAATTAGGCCATGCCCACAGAACCAGTTGTCAATAAATTTGAATCCCACCCCTGCTTACAACCCCACTGGCGCAAGCCTCATCAAGGGTGCTCACAGTTCCAATCTCGCAAGCATCATGGCCCCACTCACACAAGCATCATTACAGACACTCACAGCCTTATGCGTAAGTGTCAGCACATGTTGTGGTCCGCCAGCGGCCTGCGGAGCTGGCAGCAGAGTTGGACAGTGGGGAAGAACATGGGCCAGTTCTGGAGTCTGGGAAGGACTCGGACGAGGGATCTGCATCTGACATAGAGATGAGGCCAGGGCCATCTGGGAGTTATGTGCTGACTCTGGAGCCTCCAGAATCGGACAGCAGTGAGGCAGAGGAACAGGGGGAGCTAGTTCCTAGTGCACACTTGCACAGAACTGCCAGAAGGCAAGAACAGTTAAGACAAAGGGGCGACTTGAGAGTAAAGCTTGGAGATTATTGGCCCCTCCCATAAGACATAAAGGAGGAGCAAAGGGACATGAGCCTTTGCAGGAAGCAACTTTGTTCATTCTAGTCGGTTTAAAATCTGAAGCTTCGTGTTGACTTTGTGTTCCGTTTGGCCTTGTACTGCTAATTGGCAATTTAGTCATTGGCAGCATTTCACGGGTGATAAAGGTGGGTGCTTATCAGCCTTATCCTGAAAAGACTGTGGCAGACTTCTGTTGGACTATTTACAAACTGTTTGGGACTCATTACAGGCTGTGAATGCATATAATTCACAGCCGTTGGAATAAAACGAAAGGATTTTGGGAACAGCGTGTGATTGTTATTGTCTCAGGAAGCCTTGGTCAGAACAGTGGAGATGCTCGTGGCCCCATTCATGCAAGAGTCATTGCAGGCACTCATGGCCCCATTCACACAAGCATCATTCCAGGCGCACACGGCCACACTTGTGCAGGCATCTGCAGCCCATTCACACAAATGTCACCATGAGCATTGCAGATTCTTGTAACCCCACTCGTGCAAGTATCGTTGCAGGCGCTCACAGACCCACTCTCAATAAGCATCGCGAACACTCATGGCACCACTCACGTAGGCGTCATCACGAGGGCTTACAGCCCCGCTTGCACAAGCATTGTTGTGGGCGCTCGCCCTACTCGCAGGAGCATTCACAACCCCACTCGCACAAGCAACAGGTGTTTGCCTCCCCCTCCGACAAACCTTCCCCCCTTTCCCCCCTGTCCCCACTCCAGGCGGCCAACCCGGGAAGGTTGAGGGACTCTACTGTGAACCTTGGTGAATACTATCCGTGCAGTTGCCAAGTGCCTTAATTTTGACCATGTGACATGGCACCCTTCAGTGTCACTAAGCGTGAGGACGGATAAATCACTTTTTTCAGTACCATTATCTTGAACGATCGCTAAACAAATGGTTTTAAATCAAGGACTGCCTGGATTTGAATGTATTGTCCTATACTTTTCTTTATAGGTGCTACTGTACTTTGGGGAACCTTGCACTGGCCAAATGGATAAGAATCAAGAGAAATTCACAAGAGCCCTGGTGGCGCACTGGTTAGAATGCAGTACTGCAAGTTACTTCTGCTGACTCCCTGCTGCCATCAGTTCGATTCTCACCGGTTTAAGGTTGACTCAACCTTCCATCGTTCCGATGTCTGTAAAGTGAGGGCCAGATTGTTGGGGGGAAGATGCTGACTGTCAGATCCCTAAAAGTGATATTGCCATTCAATTGAGAGAAGGGGGGGCGGGGTTGAATTTGATTCATTACTACTGCCTGTTACAGCTGTTATTTTATAACTTGTATCCTGGCGCTGAAGCGCCCTGAGATTTTCTCACCTCTTGGAGAATGTAGTGGAGGGAGACCCATGTGGTTTGTTTCACTTTGAAAGACAGGGGAAGGTGGCTATAGGAATAAATGCTTATCTGTTTCTCAGAGCTGCAATAACATCTTCACATCTGTGGATTGGGTGAAATCAACATCTGGCAAAAAGGGAGGGGTCTTTACTGATTTAATTCTACTTGTTTTGCCTAAGGGTATTCAGGCTCTGCTTTGAATGCATTGTTATCCCCTTCTGCTTTCCTTTTGAAATACTACGTTTCAAGAGTCTTCACTTTCTTAAGTTAGAAGGAGAGGCAATCTTTACACTGACTCTGCAAACCGCTTAGAGAGGGCTGTGAAGCAGTATATACAGGGGTGGGATTCTACCAGTTCGCACCTATTGGCTAGAACTGGTTGTTCACATTCTAAGGAGTTCGGAGAACCGGTTGTTAGAAGAAAGTACTGGCCTAATCCTGTAAGGAAGGCAGGAAGGAAACATTCTGGTCTTGCTTACAGAAACTGCCTCTCCGTTAACCCTTATGACGTTCTTGGCAGAACTAGCCTTCCTGTCTCAGGAACCTCTCTGGAGTTTTTTTTCCCCCCTCCTTTGCTGGTACTTTGCTTGTGTGGATTGACCATTCAAAGTTACAATGGCACTGAAAAAAGCGACTGATGACCATTTTTCACACTTACGACTGTTGCAGCATCCCCACAGTCATGAGAGGCCAGGCGAGGAGATGCGTGCCTCAATGTGAGTGATATTGAGTTGGCCACACCCAGCCAATAACATGACCACCAAGCCACATCCACCCGGTCACATGACCACCAAGCCACGCCTTGAACCTAAGCTACACACACAGAACCCGTTGTTAAAAAATTTGAATCCCACCCGAGTATATATAATTCTAAGTGCTATTGCTATTGCTATCCATTATCCAAAACAGAAATGTAAGCCTATTTTGTTATTTTACATTTACACTGGCATTCTACCATGTTTCCCTGAAATACAACCTACCCCGAAAACAAGCCCTAGCCCAATTTTCACGCCTGCAACTAATATAAGCCCTACCCCCAAAATAAGCCCTAGTTAAGCCCTGCCCATTGTCTGGTTGTATGAGGTGAGGCGAGGTGCAGGTGTAAAAATCAAGCTAAGGTGAGAATGGGAGGTGGAGCTGCCCCATATGCCCCACACCCTTCCATCTGTTCACTGAGAAGTGGAGCGTAAAACACTCCAAATTTCCTTCTGGGTTAGAATCATGTCGCAAATGGAAAGAACCAGGTTCCTATGAAAGGGGAGGACAGTCTGAATTTAGAAACGGAAACCCCCAACCGCCGCTTCAAGGATCCTCACTCCAGTACTCAGAGTGAATCCTCTGATGTGAATTAAGGTTCCTTTTCTCGCTAAAGCTCTTCCCACACTCCACGCATTTGTATGGCTTCTCCCCGGTGTGCGTGAGGTGGTGGCGCAGGAGATGGGCTTTCTTCCTGAAGTTCTCGCCACACTCGGAGCATTTGAATGGCTTTTCCCCCGTGTGGATCCTTTGATGAGTGACAAGATTCGTACTCGTACAGAAGCTCTTCCCGCACTCGGCACACGTGTAGGGCTTCTCGCCCGTGTGAGTCCGGCGATGCGAAGTCAGGCTGGTGCTGGTGCTAAAACTTTTACCGCAGACCGGACACGTGTAGGGTTTTTCCCCCGTGTGGGTCCTTTGATGGAAAATAAGGCTGGCATTTTGGGCAAAACTCTGCCCGCAGTCCAAGCAGGTGAACGGCTTCTCTCCCGTGTGAGTTCTCTGGTGGGCCATTAGAGTCGAGCTGTGGCTAAAACTCCTTCCGCACTCCAGACACCGGAAGGGTTTCTCCCCGGTGTGAGTTCGTTGGTGCAACGTCAAGTTTGTGTTCTGGCTGAAACTTTTCCCGCATTCCGAACACTTGTATGGTTTCTCCCCCGTGTGGACTCTCAGGTGGGACGTCAGTTGCGACCGATGGCTGAAACTTTTCCCACACTCCCCGCACGCGTAGGGCTTCTCGCCCGTGTGGATTCGCTGGTGGCGGACCAGCGTGGTCTTCTGGCAGAAGCTCTTCCCACACTCCAGACAAGCATACGGCTTCTCGCCGGTGTGAATGCGCTGGTGGGTGATGAGGGCCGCGCTCTGACAGAAGCTCTTCCCACATTCCAGGCAGGCATACGGCTTCTCCCCCGTGTGAATCCTCTCATGCCTTATCAGGCCTTTCCTCTGCGCGAAGCTTTTCCCGCAGTCAGGACACTTAAAGGGTTTCTCCTCTTTGTGGGTTTTCAAGTGAGCATTAAGGCTTAACTTGCAGCTGAAGTTTTCTCCACACGCCAGGCACTGGTTAATCCTTGTTCCCTTGCCTGTGGTTTCTAAGGCTGGAAATTCACAGACCGTAGCATCCTGAAGAACAGGGGATGGGGGAATTCTCTTTTTTTTCTCTTCCACCTTCCGGCTCTGCTTTTCCTCTCCTTTCTCCGCAGCCTTCTTCAAAAACAGCCCATGGATTTCTCCCTCTGTTTTGGCCTTCCAGCTGTCCCCGGCTAGAACATAGCAAAAAGGATGTTAAAAAAAACACAGATTGTCATCATGCAACCGTAACCTCCACCTTCACCTTTGGATCATCCTGGCTGTTGAAGTCCATGCATCAAAATCAGAATCAAAATCGCGCGAAGTATTAGTACCGCTGTATAAAGTAAGACCACACCTGGAATACGGCATCCAGTTTTGGTCACCACATTACCAAAAAAAAAAAAGATGTTGAGACTTTGGGAAAAGTGCAAAGAAAAGCAACTAAATTGATTTGAGGGCCTGGAGACTAAAACGTATGCAAAATGGTTGCAGGATTTGGGTTTGGCTAGAGAAAAGAAGGACCAGGGGGAGACATGAGAGCAGTATTCCAGGGTTTGAGAGGCTGCCACAAAGAGGAGAGGGTCAATTTATTTTTCGAAAGCACCAGAAGGCAGGACAAGTAACAGTGGATGGAAACTAATCAGGGAGAGAAGCAACTTAGAATTAAGGAGAAACTTCCTAACAGCGAAGACAAGTAACCAGTGGAACAGTTTTCCTTCAGACATTGTGGGTGCTTCATCACTGGAGGTGTTTAAGAAGAGACTAGACTGTCACTTGTCTGAAATGGTATATAGCCGTGATGGTGGACCTATGGCATGCATGCCACTTGTGAGCCATTTGTGCTGGCATGCAAGCCGCAGGCAAATTTACTTCACTGCGCATGCGCGCACCTCACAGCTGATTTTTCTGCTTGTCTCAGGCCTTTTTCGGCCTCCCAGAGGCTTGGGAAAAGCCTCTCCAAGGCTTTTCAGATTGAATAGGCCCGTTTCGTCACTTCCTGTAATAACAGAAGTGATGAAACGGGCATATTATTCGGCCTGAAAAGCCTTGCAGTGGCATTTTCCAAGCCTCTGGAAGGCCGAAAAAGGCCTCAAACCAGCCAAAAAATCAGCTGTGAGGCACAGTGCAGGTAAGGGAGTGGCGGGACGCTGGATTGAGCTTGCAGGTGGAGGGGCGCTGGGGGGGGCACGCATTGGGCTTGGGAAAAGCCTCTCCAAGGCTTTTCAGATTGAATAGGCCCATTTCATCACTTCCTGTAATAACAGAAGTGATGAAACGGGCATATTATTCAGCCTGAAAAGCCTTGCTGTGGGATTTTCCAAGCCTCTGGAAGGCCGAAAAAGGCCTCAAACCAGCCAAAAAATCAGCTGTGAGGCACAGTGTAGGTAAGGGAGTGGCGGGGGGATGGATTGCGCATGCATGCGTAGGGGCCATGGGGGGGGCACGCATTGCATTCTGGGTGCTGGCACGCGAGTGCGCGCGCACTAATGCGCGCACAATTTTTGGCACAGGAGCCCCAAAAAGTTAGCCACCATTGGTATAGAGTCTCCTGCTTCAGCGGGGGTGGGGGTGGGGTGGACTAAAAGACCTCCAAGACCCCTTCCAGTTCTATTCTGATTCATCTTAAAAGTTGACAAAGTTGAGAAACGATGCTCAAGCTAGGATGAAGAATATGCCGTTTTAAAGCATCGGAGACTCGTTTCACATGCTTCCTGGCATAATTCCAGATGGTGGGCCTGTGGGAATCTGCTCGCTTTTGTTGGAATGAGGAACGCAGCGGCATGACATTAGGCAAGCAAATGATATTATTCCCATGAAGAGAAGGGATGGGGTTTGCATCGCAACTCCGCTTTCATCAACCCGACTCTCTTGCAATACCTTCCCTGTCCACCACTCACCCCCCCCCCTCCATCCACAGACGCTGCTGAATGTTGGGATCACTGGTGAAAACTTTCCTATGAGTAGAACAAGTCTTGGAAAAAGAAGTAGCCCTTTTGGTCTTGTCCATCGGCCCAATGGTGGGATTCAAAACATTTTAGTAACCGGTTCTGTGGGAGTGGCTTGGTGGGCATGGCGTGGCTTGGTGGGTGTGGCTTGGTGGGCATGGCGGGGGAAGGATACTGCAAAATCTCCGATCCCTTTCCACTCCTGGGGGAAGGTTACTACAAAATCCCATTCCTTCCCCACCCCATTAACCTGCTTTCCAGCTCCGTTCTCCTGTGCAGGACAACAAAAGCAGGCCCAGCCAATCAGCTGGGACTCAGGAGGCAGAGAATAGATTGGGGGCGGGGCCAGCAAGAGGGGGCATTTGCCGGTTCTCCGAACTACTCAAAATTTCCACTACCGGTTCTCCAGAACTGGTCAGAACCTGCTGGTTACCAGCCTCTGCACCTGGGCCATCAAGGCCCCTCAAGGAACACAATTTACCCAGAAAAGCCAAATTTCGGCCGTTCTCCTCCATCACTTCCACGTGGAAAGCTCGCTGTTCTGGATCCAACAACGCCCACTCTTCATCTGTGAAGTACACTGCCACGTCTTCAAATGCCACCAGATCCTGAAAGACCAAAGAGAAGGATGTGAATTCTTTCAAAACTTATTTTCAGAACAGGAGGATTAGAGAGTCGATGGAGATTCTCAGCAATCCAGGTCATGGTTGTCCCAAAGGTGCTTTTTCGAGAGGTAGCTGGATTTTCTTTGAAGACCTTTTGCTTCTCATCCAAGAAGCTTCTTTGGCTCTGACCGGGTGGTAGGGAATGGAAGGATTTATACTCCTTGCAGACAGCTGGTCATCTGTATTGTTTTTAGAGAGTCATTGAGGCCACCTGGAGGTTTATCTGTGTGGTCAGGGTCACCTGGGAAGTGCAAATAGGTGTGGAGCCTTCTTGGAACTGTTGAAAGGACTGTGCTGTGATCTGTGTTGTGGTCATCATCACTCTCCAGTCTACAACATTTGGGCTGCAAGGGGCAAAGAGGGGTATTCATGCATGAACACCTGTACCAAAGGGAGCTGGTATACTTAGATCCGTGATGGGGAACCTACGCCACACGTGCCGGAAATGGCACACAGAGCCATCTCTCTCTGTGTCAACTAAAAAAATACTCCTTTGGTCTTTTTAGTTGCCAGCAGAAAGGGAGTCGGGGAAGTAGTGCATTCCTGAAATGCTTCAAATAATCGCTTTGGCAGCCGAAGCTGTTGGTGCGCGAGATTATTACTGGAGAGCATGATTGATGACTCTTGGCTATGGATGTGTCCCATTGGAGAATATACATCCAGGGGATGGGGGAAGATCAGGGTCAAGGGTGAAATGAATGATGTGTCGTAGAATCGGTTGCAACCAGGAAACGCTGGCATGTTAACTCCTAATAAATCAATCTTTTTTTACTCTGAGAGATGCGGCTAGAGACTTATGAGTTGAATGGGGGTGCATGTCGGAGCCTTGACACTCTGGGCACATCAGCCATTGCCCATTGCTCTTCCGGTTTCACTGGTCTTGGTGCACGCAGGAGTGCCGGAAACCAGAAGAGCAGCTCCCCGTAGTGCATGCTTGCATTGGCCATCTGATCTTCGCGCATGCATGTGCTTTAGAAACCGGAAGACCAGGTGGCCAGCGGGCGTGCACGTGCCTGGAAGTTAAGCTTCTGGTTTCTGGTGCTCCTGCGTGCGCGCGTGTGTCACAGAGCTGCTCTTTCCATTTCCAGAGCACGCATATGCGTGCCTGCTCTCCCATTTCAGCACTCGCTGCCGAAAAAGTTAGCCACCACTGTTAGGAATATAAGTCACCTAACAGGTATTTGGGTTAGAAACATATAAACCAGGATAAACATTTTAGTACTATATCTTTAAAGGAATGCAAGAGCATGCAATTGGGTGTGGTTTCTCAAACAGCCATAAGATGGAGCCAGAAACCTGGGTTGTTTAGTCTGAGTCTCAGGAGAGAGTGTAAGTGTATCTCTGTTTCCTTCTGTTGGGAAGTATTGCTGTTGCTCCATTTCTTCTAATTGACTAATATTACTGAATTTAATGTAAGTCTATTACTGAACTGTTTTTGACACTGGAATTTCATATTTGGATTATCCCTGGATTGAAAAACTGACTGATTTATCTTTGGACTGCTTATTTTGGACTTTGCTTAAACCTTTCTGGAAGTAAAAACCTACATTTACTGTACAGTGTATCTATGTGCTCTGTGTGTATTATTCCAACACTACCCTCAAATACGTCTCCCTGTATGCGCTCATTCTCTTAACGGGAAATTACCTCAACAACCACTGACCTAGATGATGTACTAATTTATACTGAGACCATGGAAGAGCACATAAGGCTAATGAGGGCAATACTTGAGAAGCTAAGTCCAGTTGTACGCAAAGCTATCTAAGGGTGACTGCCACAAAATCAGCCTAGACCCCTGATGGCAAACCTATGGCATGCATACCGGAAGTGGCATGCAGAGCCATCTCTGTGGGCATGCAAGCCGTCGCCCTAGCTCGGTTTCACTGTGCGTGCACGCACGTGCCTCCTTCAGGGGTGGGATTCAAATTTTTAACCGGTTCTGTGGGTGTGGCTTAGTTGGTGGGCGTGGCTTGGTGGTCATGTTATTGGCTGGGTGTAGCCAACTCAATATCATTCACATCGAGGCACGCATCTCCTCCCCTGGCCTTTCATGACCGTGGGGATGCTGCAACAGTCGTAAGTGTGAAAAATGGTCATAAGTCACTTTTTTCAGGGCCATTGTAACTTTGAATGGTCACTCCACACAAGCAAAGCACCAGCAAAGGAGGAGGAAAAAAATCAAGAGAAATTCCTGAGACAGGAAGTCTAGTCCTGCCAAGAATGTAATAAGGGTTAACGGAGAGGCA